CGGTACGGTAGTACGTTACTATATATATATATATATATATATATATATATATATAATATATATATATATATATAGGGAAAATATGAGATTAGCCCATTAGCTCAATATGAACATATGAGCCAAATGTCCCAGATTGAATTTGGACCGATCTGACGATCACAAATATCCAGTAGTGTTTGAATTTTAGTTTTTTTTCTAGAAATCCAAATCACTTGAAATTTTAGGCCCTAAAAATATTGCATCTTAGGACACATTATCTCGACCGTCCATTTTCAATATTTTCATGTGTTTATAGATCTACTTAATTTAAAATTTTATAATTAAATATGAAAATAGATTTTGAGATAATTCTAAGAATTTTTTACACCAAAATTACATGTTATGATAAAATTTGTATGTGGCCTTAATTAGATTGGTTAAGGTTGCAAGTAGAAGGAGAGCCATTTGTATAGAGCCGAGGCTCTAAACAATCAAATTAGACCTCATTCAAATGGTATCGAGAAATATCGTTTCAATATTGAAAATATCCAAGATAGCTTTAAAATATATTTTCATCTTTAATTATAAAATTTAAATATTCAAAAGTAGTGTACATCTATATACACTTGGAAATCTTGAAAATTGATGGTCCAAAAATAGGTTATAAGATGCACTAGTTTTAAATTTTGAAGTACATTTTTTTCTATGTCTATGCACCTTAATGTCGAGATAATCAATTTGATGATATGTGAGCATCAAAACAACATCCTCTAGAAAACTTTTTGATGTGGGATCTAATTTGATTGTTTAAAGCCTCGGCTCTAAATAAACTTTTCCCTTAATTGAAATAGGAACGCAAACGAGAGAGAATAGGTGTATTCTAACCATTCTTCCTCTGGATGATAATGCCATATGGTGGTCTAGTTTAGTGGGAGAAAGCGCGCGCTCCTTCCATGGAGATCACTCTGCACTCATGTCCCTCTACCAGAGAAGTGCTTCCCTTGTCGACACCATTCACTCTTAGCAAAAACCCATTTCACACTTTTACTCCTCATTCTCGTTTCCATTTCGAAAGGCTTCAATTTAACAGGAAGCTCTTCACCTTGGAAACCAGAGATAAACATTATGCAAGACACAAAGCCATGGAAACTTCATCTGAGGATTCTTCGTTATTATCATTGAATAATAAACCTAACAGAAACCTGGCTTTGCTGGATGAATATGAGCTTGAAGAATTTGAAACCGAAGTGAATGCGACACACCAAAGTGGTGCGTATTTTCTACCGAGGTTCTTGTATTTGATTTATGGCTATATATGAGAGATGGGTTTTAATCTAATTGAATTACGGGATAACTGGAAGAGACCCATGGAAATGAGCCATGAAATTTGGATATGACTTCATTACTTATAAATGTTGGATGAGTTATGGGTTTGAGTTTTAGCGTGTAAATCTCACTTACAGTAATTAAGAAATTTTAGTTTTCAGATGGATTATTGGTATTAATTGACCAGAATTTTGACTGATTGATTTGTTGAAATATATCCGAGAAACTAACTTCATCTATATTGTGGTGCTTCTATAAAATATGGTTTTATTGTATGAAGTGGAATTTGGTAGATTTTTCTTTCCTTAAAGTGAGTCATGGTTTTGTTTTGGATTCATAGGTTGTAGACTACAAGAAATTAGGCTGCGTGGTTATTTAAAAATAGCAAGGAAACTATCTGGTTCTTATCTGAAATATCACTAGCACATTGTTTATTAATTAATTAATTAGTTAGTTAATTAACCAATTTGTTTCTATCGATGATAGTTTCTTGTAGATTAGCATTTTCCTTGAAATTTGTGTATAGTTTATGAATTTCTACATTAAAATATATGAATATAGCCTTTAATATGCACGAACGGATACTTGAAAATTTTAATTTAAAATGATCATTCTCAGGTAATTTCTATTAGCTAACACATGACGTGTTTTTCTCTTTCTGATCTGAATTTATCCTTATGTCTTCAATATGATTATTTTCCTTTTCAATTGGGGCTTAATCAACCAGTGTTCAGTTCAATTGAAGGTTGTTTTTGTTCCCTTATTTGTTGGACTTCTCTTATGCAATTCTTATATCCACTTGTTGAACTCATACAAAAGCTCTAGCAAATCTTGTTGTAGCATTTTCTAGCAATCCCGGGAAACCTCCATAGAAAGCCATAGATGCCTGAAGCAGTGTTCCCAGTCAATACCGACTGAAGTGAATTGTAATTAAATTGGACTGGGCTGGTGGTCATGTGAGTGGTGGTAGTGTCTTTGAGACATTGCTTAATGCTTTCACAGGTTAAGTGCTTTCTTTTATTTTGATGTATAATACAACTTAAGAAGACAAAAGTTCACATTGATGATAAGGGATGCTGCCTATGGTGGCATACACTCCCTCGGCCCCATGATTGGTTTATCAAATTAGTAATAATATCAAGAAGATGCACTAGAGATGATTCTGCATTGATTGTATTCCTGAGAAAATCCATAGGGAAGTTTATGGTGGAAGAACCCCCTTAAGTATCAATTGGCAATATTCTTTTTTATGATAAAGATTTTGGAATGCATTTGGTGATGTAGCAAGTTGTTCGAACTGGTCAAGAGGCAAATGAATCGCCGCCACAAAGAACGGGGTAAAAAAAAGAAAAAAGAAAAGAAAAGTTTGGAACATCTCATGAGTTCTTCTTATAGAAAATTTAGACATCTAACCAGGGGGGCTAAGTGTGGAGAAAATAAAGTAAAACAACCATTTCCAAATGGTTTTATGATTCTTAATAATTTAGAATGTGGCTGTTGAAACTTATCACATGCCTTTGGAGCGCAAACTTACAAATATTGTGACTAGAGCGAAAGCTCCATCAGCTTATGTTGGTGGCCTCTTTTCTGATAGAGGAAACTAATATGCTCCAATAATTGATTAGCTTAATACAAAAACATTGGAGGAGAGTGGCCTATGATGTTGAATGGATGGAAAGACACCATTAGTAGAATTCTATTACATATTTATTGACATAACTGAGATTAATTTGTCCAGGCAATCTTGTGAGCATAGCAATAATCCAGAAAGCAATAATGATCTAAAGCTCATTTGCAATCTTAATTTGACATAAATGTTGGAAAGTTAAAAGAGTTTCCGGGCTTTGAAGTACCTCGAGGCTAGAGGATAGAAAAGAATACAAATTTGTTAGTCCAAATTTGCAAATATGCCAGTACAAAATTGCAAATATGCGATGCTTCTCGGGAGTGGTGTTTTGGCTTCAAAACTTTGTGCATCCTGAAGAGATGCTGGCCTGTCAACTGCCATTGATATTGATTGTAATACTTCCAAGTTCAAGCATGGCCTTGAAAGTATGTTCTACATCTGATATTGATGGATTGTCTGTGCAGTACCAGTTGTGGACAGATATTGCAAATTTGGAATTCCCATCTATAGACTGTGTATCTGGACTTCTTGAGGTGCATCAAGTTAATTAGAGAATGTCATTTCTGTTTTTAAGACAGTAATATATTAGACTATTGTAATGGTGAGATAGATGTGCCATCCCTTTGACGGATAGTTGACTACAGTTTGCTATATTTTGCATTAAAAATACAGAAAAAGAACTGAGCATCAGTTCTCCCCCATGGCCAACTGGTTTGGACCTCTCATTCGCATGGCTTAGGTTGAGGGTTTAAATCAGATTAGAACAGAAATTATCGAATTAGCATATCTTCTATCAACTAACTGTGCTAGTTCCCTTAGGGCTTAGTTAAAACAGAATTTAATGGCTTTCCTCATACAGACTGCCACACCCAACTGCAAGACATTGCATGACTCCCAAACAACAACAAAAAAAAAAAACCCACACAAATGGAACCCACAACAACAAAAAAGACAAACCCACACAAATGGAACCCACAACAACAACAAAGACAAGCCCACACAAATGGAACCCACCCCTCCAAACAGTAGCAAAATTTATTTTCCGATGGGGATTCTCGTGGAAGCCTGGTCTTGCAAGGTTGGTGGGGTTGTACGCAACTATAGAGGCCCTATTCTGCCCACTTTTCCAGGTCCTATAGGATGTGTGATACCAATGAGGCCAAAGCTCTTGCGCTCCTCATATGAATCAAATTATATGAACCTGCCCTGTATTTTTCTAAATTTAACCCCATTAACCCTGCTCCAAGTCCCTTGGCAGTTGCACAAGAATTTTATGGAGTGTATTAAGAATCACCTCCAAGTCGAGCATCTCCTTCTATCACCAATGGACAGAGTCAAATGGATTGGCATACTTCCTGGCTAGAGGAGCACCAAGGTCAAATCTAGTTATCTCCCCCACTTGATTTTTTATTTTTTGTGCTTAGCATCCTTGACTACTTCGGTGCTGAGACATGTAGCTTTTGAGTATTCTGAAATACAAGCATAGAAGATATGAGGAAACATAGAGAGGAGCGACTCTCTGTTTTTTTTTTAATAAGTTAACCACAAGCAACTCTTTGTTGACATGCTTATTGCATTAATTATGTATATTTTTTTGGTACTTGACATTATTTGGTGACAATGGCATATGAATGATGTTGATTATACATGAAAGTTCTAATGATCTAGAGGCTTATGTCTATAACAATAATGAATGTAGGAGTGGAGGCTATTTGGCGAGTCTGTTTAATATAGTTATTCATTTGGTGCATGTAGACATCTGTAGTATCCAACTTGTTCCAAATTTCCAATGGCTATAAAATAGTAGTAGTGATTATTACTCCGATATTGTAGGGGTACTGAAGTTGTGAGAGCCCCTTCTTCCATGCTTTCCAAGGCCCTTAAAGGTGGCAATGAGTAAAGAAATGCACCACAGTTGCTCAGTTCATGGGAACATGTCCACATTGGAGTGGACCAGGAGTTTCCAACTTCGAGTGCTTTTCGTGAGGTAATCAACAAGTACGTGGTGGCCTATCAGTTTGAATATCATCTGTGACCCCTTTGGATTCTTAGGTATCCATTTTCAAGGTTTGCATATTCAGGATGTGATTAAGAAGATCACATTTGGCGCTCTTTTGATCCCTTGTATCATGGATATCCTAATCCACAGAAGGACTCATATCCAACATATGCCAATCGAAAGAACAAAAGCTGTCCATGGAAATCATCGATTGGCGTGCTGAGGGGACCATCAACCACTTCTCTCTCCTCTTTTATTACTCTCCCCATGCTCTCTCTCCTCCATTTAGAGAGAGATAAAGGGCAAGATTAGAGAGAAATGATTTAGAGAGAGTACATAGAGAGAGAAAGAGCATGATTAGAGTGGAGGGGATTTAGAGAGACAAAAGGTCATGGTTGAACAGAGTGGCGGTAGAGAGAAAGGAATTAGCAAGGGAAAAGGGCACTATTAGAGAAGAGATAAAGAAAGGGCATGGTTAGAAAGAGAAAGTGCATGGTTAGAGCGAGAGATAGGGCATAGTTGAGAGAGGGTTAGATAGAAAATGGGCACATTTAGATAGAGTGGAGTTAAGTGAGCAAAAGGGCACAATTACGTTGAGAAAGAAGTTAAAGAGAAAATACATGGTTATAGAGATAGTTGGAGAGAATAGGGCATGGTTAGAAAGAGGAGGTAGGGAGAGAAAGGAGTTAGAGAGAGAAAGGGTGCATTTAGACATGGTGGAATTAGAGCACTTAGGGAGAGAAATGGCATGGTTAGAGAGAAATGGATGTAGAGAGAGAAAGGAGTTGCTAGATAGGGGAGTTAGAGAAAGAAAGGGCACAGTTGGAGAGAGAAGAGTTTGAGGGATAGAGGACACATTTGGAGAGAGGAGTTAGAGAGAGAAAGGGCACCCTTATAGAGAGAAATGAGTTAGAAAAAGAGAATGGGCATAGTTGTAGCGAGGAGTTAGAACAAGAGAAAGCGTATGGTTAGAGAGTGGAGTTAGAGGAGAAAGTAGCAGTTAGAGAGAGGGGTTAGAGGGATGGGGCGTGATTAGAGAGATTAGTTATAGAGATAAAGTTCAGGTTAGAAAGAATCACAGAGAGCGCATGGTTAAAGAGGAGAAATAGAGAGAGAAAGGGTACACTTAGAGAGAGAAATTAAAGAATGAAAGAGCATAGCTAGAGAGAAAAGACTTGGAGAAAGACAAAAGTCATTGTAAGAGAGGGGTTAGAGATAGAAATGGCACAATTATAGAGAGAAAGGGCATGGTTAGAGAGAAACATGTCACAAATAGAGAAAGAGAGGAGTTAGGGTGAAAAGAAAAAGTAATAAACTTTTATAACTTGAAGATAGTATGAGATTGGCAAATTCAGGATTAAAAAAACATGAGTCAACATTGGATTTGCAAAACTTGGATTCCATCCAGATGCTCTTCAAACAACGTTTACCAAAATCTTCCAATGCCCATTTGATATGCTCTTGATGCATCCTAGATGAAATAAATGGAGGCAACCATTATTAAAGCCGTACATGCATGCATGAAAAACGATATGAACAACTGACGAAATTTCTAATTGCTCAGTTTATGCTGCAACGTGGCTTCCAGGATTCATATTTAACGACTGATATGGGTATCCGTATAGCTGGCTACATAACTTTTGGAATCCATGTAACTGGGTCATCACTACCTCCTCATGTTATGCCTTTGGTACAACTCTAACACATATTTCAGAATATATCCTTTTTATTTCTATGTGTTTATCATAACAAGGTGGTTGTTAAGCTTGTCCTTGACAAGGCCCATACCAATTTCCTCTGAAGCTCTTTTTGGGACATTTATGCTACTTCCAACATCACATAATTATTCCCACTTCATGTCATGATCTTGAAGATATTTTTCCTCACCAACACATGAAGCAACTATCTTTAATGGGCAGCTCTAACTCTGTCATTTTGGTTGCATCCAATGAGTTATTTTTTTAGTAAGCAATATTTGAAGTGGTCGGTCATCACGTACTTGCTGAGAGCTTCACAAAAAACATTCAAAATTGGTAAATCTTGGCTGACTCTAATGAGTAAATGCTCCCATGAGGCAAACAACCATGACATATTTCATTGCGCACTGCTTCCTTCTAGGGCATTGGAAGATGAGGAAGAAGGTCAGAGCAACAATCAGTAACATTACTTGTATAGCCATTGGAACTTCTACAGGTGTGTATATAGTTGTGGACAGATGTGACCCACATTTGTCCTTTATGTACGCATTTGTACTATTCTCATGTTATATTTATATACAGCTGATATAAGGACATTAGTGTATCATGCAAAACATCTTAAGGCAATTTTTGTAAATGCTATGAATATAAAATACATGGAATGGTGTTGGAATGGTAGTTGTTCCATTCCTTTTCTTTTTATGTCTTGTTTCTCTTCTTGAACAATTATCTCATTCATTCACCACTGCTGTCTTCTTGTTATAATTCCGCTTGATATCATTTTTATTTTTAATTCTTGAAAGTATTGCTTTGAATTGCCATTATGGATGTGCTTTTCTAACTTGGATTTATAATCCTTTATTTGTTGCTCGCCTGACGTGCAAATACAGGTTATGTAGCTGTTTTGGGCAAGCCAAATGTTGGAAAGAGTACACTTGCAAACCAGATGATTGGTCAGAAGCTTTCAATTGTTACAGATAAACCTCAGACTACAAGGCATCGTATTCTGGGCATCTGTTCTGGCCCTGAATATCAGGTGTATTTGCCTACTTCTTTCATTGCTGTTGTATTGGTGTTCTCTAAGTACTACTAGCAAATAATGACATGATATAAATCAACTAAAATTATTTAGAACAATAGAGATTTTCCTTTTCTTTGATTTTAGACAATGGCATGGTATTTTGATTTCATGAGTTTTTGAGGAGATTGTATTTGTTGGGTTGCAAACTATTTACCCCAAACAAAATCTGATTCATGATTCAGTTCATGTTCCCTCCATTTAGAAAATGTTTTCACTGTCAATCCTTCATAGAATCAACAACTGACTCTTGACTCTTCTATTTATTCATCAAAGTGGATGGGAGTTTTGCAGATGATATTGTATGATACACCTGGTGTTATCGAAAAGAAAATGCACAAGCTGGACACAATGATGATGAAAAATGTTCGCAGTGCTGCCATTAATGCAGATTGTGTTCTCGTCGTTGTAGATGCATGTAAAACACCTTCAAAGGTAATGGTTCTTCTTTTCGAATGTCCATCCTAATCAAGTTAATGTTCCAGGAATGCAGAAAAACCTGATTTTATAAATAGGAGGTTCATATCCCAGATTGACGAAGTTATGGAAGAAGGTGTAGGAAACATCAAGGGGAAGGTGCCCACTTTGCTGGTGTTGAATAAGAAGGATTTGATTAAACCTGGGGAAATAGCAAAGAGACTAGAGGTACATTTTCGTCTAAAATGGCATCTCCTCTTTGGGTTTGCAGCGTATTATATGATCAAGAATTAAAGTACAAATCTTCTGATTATGTGATTATGATGACTTACTCCTTTTGGGGTTCTATCCCATACTAGCTGTTTGAGTCTCTCTCTCTCTCTCTCTCTCTCTCTCTCTCGCACACATTCCCACTTACACACACACACACACAGAGTTGTGGATGTGATTCTAGAAATTCAAATCGAAAAGGAAAAGAGTTCTTTTGTTTGAAGTGTTTGACATTTCCTTGCAGTGGTACGAGAAGTGTGTCGATGTTGATGATGTTATACCTGTGAGTGCTAAATATGGTCATGGCATCAATGACGTGAAGGATTGGATCTTGTCAAAACTTCCTGTTGGGCCTGCTTACTATCCCAAGGTATGATGAAAGATTTTACCTTATAGACACTCACTCACACACCCACCTACACACACACGTGTGTACGTGTGTGTGTGTATTTTGTGTTATACCTTACAATTTTGGTTTATGTTCATGGTTATTCCATACTGCCTTGATTCCTCTAAAGAAAAAGGGCCGTACCCGGTGCTGGTCCTGCCTACACAGGGTCCCTGGAGGGGTGAGATGGAAACGGTCCTAACCTTTGGCTTTTTATGCACAAAGTGGCCGCTCTCAGGACTCCAACCCGCCCTCTTGCGCTGGCTACCCTAACCTTTTACCGTCACACCAAGTGACGGCCCCTGATTCCTCTAATTTTTGTTATTTGATACCATCTATATTGTAGGTAATATCACAATAAAGCTTCTATGGGTAATCTCTTTTTTCTTGACAGTTTATATTATTGTTAGTATTAATTACAGATTTCCCACAAGGGCTGAGGATGGCATCCCACAAGTCGGGTTCTCTAAAAAATCAGCCACAAGGTAAAAAAGGTCAAAAGATGTTGAAGGCCTCCCACAAAGAAGTGGGTCACAACATCAAAAGATTGTCACAGGTATAGAACTGGAGATATAGATTCAAAAGGATATGCCTGCAAAAAACCGAGAAGATAAAAGAAGTTTCAAGACATGTGGATGCGGAATAGAAAGAATGGGAGTAGAGATAAAGGAACAAGGAGGATGAAGAGCGAGGAAGGGGAGGAAGTGAGAGATAATGAGAAGAGCGGAGATTTACTGGACGGATGACAAGAGAGTTATAGAGAAAGAGTGAAGAAACGAAGAGTTGAGTAAAATTCAAGTATAATCGGATAAAGGAGAGAGAGAGAGAGAGAGAGAGAGAGAGAGAGAGAGAGAGAGAGCATAGGTCTAGAGGGATGGGGGGAATGAGAGAGAGAAGGTTTAAAAAGGAAAGCAAAAAAACAAGGGGCTCCTTCAAGCGGCATTAGATGCAACACCCTCAGCAGCCTCTATTCTGGCCAGAGCATTTGCCGCCCTATTGGCATCCCTCCAAGTATAACTGAAGGCAACTTGAACATGCTGGCATAAATGAAAAACATGGTCAAAACTATAACCACGTCTCCAAGGATATTGAGATTTCCAATGATGTTCTTAGAATCACCGTCCACTATGATGAGGTTTTGGCCCCAGTTTTGATCAAACCTCTCTAGGCCTTCTTTCTAGCACAGTTTTTTCTGGGGTACAGGTTCTGGACAGCTTTAGCTGTTTTATAATGAGTCCCAAGTTTCCTACACACTAAGCTCAAATTACCCATAGTATTGCATGTGTTCCATGAGCATACCTTTATATAGAAATTTATACAGTCCTTTCTGAAGAAATGCAAAGAGGTTGTGAGGATGACCGTAGATGAGGAAAGATCCAATGTGGAGATTATTGATGCACAATGTGTTTTGAAGTGGGAGAGTGCAATTAAAGATATTAGTTGTGTATAGCAAGTTTTGCCTTTGGAAAGTCCCTCTTTTTTTATTGGTGTTTTGTCATTTGGTTTTAACTAATTTACAATATCTACACTTGTGTTGTATGGGATTCTTTACAAAACTTCATCCAAACAGGTGTCAGTTAAACATGTTGGATGAATGAGTAAGTTTTTCTCTACATTCTGCAAATAGCTTTGGTTATGATCCTGGCAATCCTGTTTTAACTTTCAAAGATACCTTGTTCCCCGTTCCTTTTTTTTGGGAGTACTTTTGCATGAGTCCTTGCTTTATATATCCCTTACATCAGATTGAATACTATTGAACTATTGTGCTTTAGTTCATTGACCCTTGGTAGAAATATGAAGCCTATTGTTTCCGCATGTGGTTTCAGGACATAGCAAGTGAGCACCCAGAGAGATTTTTTATAGCAGAAATTATTCGGGAGAAAATTTTCATTCAATACCGTTATGAAGTTCCTTATGCATGTCAGGTAAGTAGTTATAATTTTGGAATGAAGTTCTTTCATCTTTTCCTTAATTTGGATTTTTCTTTTTGCCCTTTTTTCTTGTGGTTGTCGTTTTTATGGAGCAGAATTTTCTTGCAAAAAACAATTCACCTATAGTTACATTTTCTACTTGCAGGTCAATGTGGTGAATTACATCACTAGACCGACCTCAAAAGATTATATTGAGGCTGAGATTGTGGTTGAGAAAAATTCTCAAAAGATGATTCTCATTGGGAAAGTATATTTCTGGTTTCCCTACTTATTATTTGAAATAGAGTTTGGTCTGTTGCTTTCGAAGGCATCATTTTGTGGCACAGAGACTTGTATTGTCTCAGCCACTATGAAAATACTGTTTATTTTTCTTTACTAGTTATTGATATTACACACCAGCTTACTGCCATTACAAAATAGAAGGAAGTTTAGCAATTGGCTGTCTGAGGGGAATTTTTATCCAGTAGAGGAAGTAATTGCTGCGAACTTATCATATTGCTTATTCACATGATTTGTACAGGATGGGAAGTCTCTTAAGGTACTAGCAACGGCATCACGACTTGATATTGAAGATTTCTTGCAAAAGCAAGTCTTTCTTGAGGTACCAAGAATCCTCTTTCTTTGGTTTTGTTTGGTGTCTTCATATACATAGATCTTTAAATTTGGGATTCATTTCTTTTATTTTCTTTTGAAAATGTTTATTACTAAACATCTGAAGTTGCCTGGCAAATGTTCTAGAAATCATTGCAACATGTGTGTAACTTCCAAAATACAACTCTTAGTTGCAATTCGAAAAAAAAAGAAATAAATAATTCACTTTGGAAAGGAAAACTACTGATTTTTCTTCCTTTGATAGTCAAGAATGCTACTGATCTTGTCAGAAAAACCATTACATTACATGAGACTAGGGAAGAGAATTGAGTAGGGACATGCTAAATCAACTGGGAAAGCATCTTGCTCTTTTGAGTTGAAAACTTCGAACATCCATTAAACAAATCAACATGTGAATGACGTTTTGAAGGAAGACAGTGGTTATTGAATGCAATTAGTGTGTAAAGCAAGCACCTCTTTTTCCTCTCTCTCTCTCTCTCCTCCATTCTTTATTTGCTTTCCAGCTCAACCTTTCTTTATTTTCATACAATTATTAATTGCTTTCTTCATTTTCATTCCATTTTCTCATAAAACATTATATTTCATTCATTAGTTGCTTGCACTAGACACATGCTGCTATCATTCATGGAGCATAAATTTTTACACCTGTGCTTGATTTTGGGGCTTCGAGTTAGATTTCGAAGCTTTCAAGTATCCACAAAGGCTCTTTCTACGGCTTTTCCTTTTAGGCTTCTAAACTTAGTTTAAACTATAGGCGCGTTGTAGAGACAAATGTTAGGTCCAATTACGGTTTTTTGTTATTTATTAACTTAAATGCGTATAAATAGATGATTATGTGCCCGTCATAGAGGAGATGGAAATTTTATGGAAATGTAATGAAACTTTTGAGTTCTAGAGTTATGGAGCTTGATAAATTGTTGTTGCTTTGTCCGTCTTTTTAGATTTTTTTGCCGCCTTCAATTCTCAGTGAATCTAATGGATTCAGAGCAGACTCAATTGTGTCGGATCAAAGATCCGATAACTACAGGAGTTCCTCGAGTCCCAAGTGCACATTTGATAGCAGGCTTGACTCAAAGGTTGGATCAACTTATGGATCTGGTGACCCATCAAGCTATAAACCTTGGAGGCATATTCGGTAAGTATGAGCTGCATGAGAATCGTGCCAACTACCTTAAATTTCAAGGATATTTTCCTTTAACTTCCCAAGAGAATCCATTGGCGGTTGTCTTTTTGGTTGTAATGTTGAACCACACTTATTGACTTGATGGGTGAAACTATATCATATATATGATGAGAATCCAATTGAAGTGGGTGATGAAGAAGGGTTGCTAAAAGAAGTATATGACGGGAATCTATTTTTTTATTATGTGAGGGAATTTAAAGACTTTAAACATTGAAAGATAATTGGAGATGATTTTGAAGTTCAACAAGCAATCAGACCCTTTTCTAGAAGAATTTTTGAATCGATTGCAACTATTGCCGATGAATGATCTTGTTCAACCACATAAATATACAAGACATTATTATATAGAGATCCAGTGAAGTAGATCCAAAGCCAATTGTAGGTTTGCAACACCGACTACCAAATGTTAAGTCAAAATTGCAAAGATGAACAAAACAACTAGAATATCAATCTTCTTAAGGAGGAATCTTAGAAGGAACCCAAGGTTGAGTCCTTTTTGAGAAGGGGTGAATAATGTGGCTATCATTCGAGGAGCGTAACATTTTCCTCCTATGTCCAATTTTGGTGCTTCAAGTTGCGTTTTAATTATCTTTCAGTTATCTATGAAGGCTATTTCTAGGGTTTTTCATAATTTCGTTGTATTAGGCTTAAAAACTTAGTTTTATGGACATGAGTATAATGATGAATTTTGGGCCTATTTACGGTCTTTTGTTATTTATTAATGGTTAGGGGTATTGTAGGATTTAAATTTTGAGACTTCTCTGTTCCAGAACTACAGAACTCGATTAGTTGTAGTTGCACTCCCCCTTTTTGAGATTTTGTTTGCTCCATTCATTTTGCGCGGCATCATAGAGCCGAGTGGACTTGGGCAAAGCCCGAGGCTGACGTGTGACAATATTAACACTAATCAGCATATTTCTGTTAAAAATTTGTCGATGAAATGGGGCACAAAATAAAGACTTCACAAATACTTTGAAGGAGTAACAAATGGCTAACAATATTCTAGTTCCCCGGCACGAAAACTTCGATATTGTGATAGGTTCCCCTTATTGATCAAAACCAGGGTGCATCTAAGTTCTATAGGCAAATTTGTTTTCAAAATACAAGTTGAAGATTGAACATTGTCTTGCTTGTACAATTGCATAAGTACAACAAGATTTGGAGTAAGCGGAGTTGCTTTCTAGAGTGAGAAAGTTCACACAAGAAGATAGTCTGAAAATGAGATATAACTTTGTGCAAAACTGTATATCAAAAGAAAAGTTCGAGTCCCATATATAGAGAGAGAAAGTGCCCCTTCACCTCACCCAATGTTAAGAGTTCATTGTACTTGAAAGATGAAGAGTGGTGACTCTTTGTTTCTCGACTTTAATAGTCATAATACTTCCCATCAATTACATCATACATGCAATTGGATACCCAACAGTCACACTAGTTTACGGTGGCTTTTCAGGTTCCTACAGGTGGTGAACCATTGCATCCAAAATCACAGCCAAATTGTTCATCTCTTTGGGAGAAGTTTTTATTTGCGATTTGACACTTATTCATGACACCAAACAGCACATAGTGTTTTGGTGGGAGATCCAACCATTAGAATTCACAAACTGCCTTACTTTGGATCAGGCCATTGCCCTTCTCCTGTCCATGTGCCTTGTGGTGCAAAAATATTGAGCCGTGAGCCTGACCAGCAGACATGTATGGGCTAAGGGCTCTTACGCGCCGATGCAAGTATCCGAAGTGCAAAGTGTGCCTTAAGTACCCTTGCGCCCGCGCTCGTGCACATTGCATGCTTTACGTTCTCCTCATAGGCTTTCTCTCCCCTTGATTTTAGAGCACAATAGGAGAGGTATTATCATATCTATGCTTGATTTTCTCTTCTCCCATCTTCGATGTGGGACAAGAAACCCACTATTTCTCTATCTGCAATAAGACAAACTAAGCTTCTCCAAACACTACCACTTTGAAGTAATACCTAGTATTCTTCCAATGCAAAAATAAAGCAATGTCCTCCACTTATTTCAAAATAATATGAACAAATGAAGGCAATTATAAATTATGTGCATGCTATAAAGGTATCTTTTGATTTGAATCTTCACTTAGTGTATGTACTACAAAGTCCCTCAAGTAGCTTTGAACTAAGGTCAGCATTATTATCAAACCCTTTTACCAACTATTTGGAGTTGGCTACACGAATCCTAGTCCGCTATTATGCTATATCAAGGGCTATACCCTCAGTGACGCTATAAGTTCCCATATCTTTTCTCACTACTTCCTACTATGTCCTTTTGGACGTACCCCTTACCTTTTTTGAGCCTCCCACTTGAACCAACTTGTACCTCTTATTAGATGTCATATTGGGTTTGTGCTGCACATGGCCTGTCCACCCAAGTCTACTTTCTCTCATCTTATCTCCTATTGGAGCTACAACTAAGTTCTCCCGAATATATTCATTTTGAACTAAGGATCTTATCCCAAAAACTACTAGCACGACACATAAATGACGTACATCTCTTGTATCTTTTTATTGTCAGCACGTTGCTAGTGTTGAGCTTATTAGATTTGCTTGTCTTGTGCTTATTTCTAATAAGTGCCCTGGAGACGAGTGCAATCTCATAAGAAATAGCCACACTTCCACACTTGTACAGGTGAATCTTGTAGGGTTCTCATGAACCTCTAGCTTGCGGAACCGGGAATCCCAAAGACTGGGATCCCGCCCAAGATCGTGTACATGATTGGCTAAATGCGAAGTAGATGAATACAAATATAAATCGAGTGTAAAAAAAAAAGCAAACATAAAAGGCACACCACCACAACACATGATTTACGTGGTTTACCCCATAGGCCTACATCCACGGTCTCAACATATAGAATCCACTGTCACAATGAAGATTACAGTTTTGGGTTACAAGAGATATATCTCTCTCTAGACATCGGTAAAAAGCACTCTCCGATCTTCCCTTCTAAACCGCTCTCCCGATCGAGCAACACCGTCGATCAATATCTTCTTTCCCACCGCGATATCGCTATCGGAAAGATAACTTTGAGAGCAATTGAGAGATTTTCTCTCTAGAAGTGAAACTTTAACCAACCCAAAACTCATGGGAATATCGCCTCACTTGGAGGCCATGTCTCTCTCTCTCTTGGAGACCCATCTCCATATTGGATATCCATTCCCATAACTCCCAAAGGGGAGACCCTCAAAATGATGGGTATTATGTCTTCTTTCACTCTCTTATAAAGATCACTGTTTTACTTCTCAAGAAAGTCCATTTTCTATTTACCATAATACTCTTAACATTTAGAAGAAAATATGTATGGTGATTTGGCTATCACCAAACTCAACAATCTCCACCGTGATAACAAAATCACCAAATTCATCTTGCCGACCTTCATTGAATAGATTTCTTGATTTCTTCTCACTTGTCTCCATTGTGAAATTTCACAAACATTTTGCCTCCATATTTCTCTCCCTCAAACTATGTACCAATCTAGCTTCACTATTCATCTTTTTCTTCATGTAATTCTTAGCCCCGTACACACCTTATGCTCTGATACCAATTGTAAGGTTCTCATGAACCCCTAGCTTGCAGAACCGAGAATCTCAAATACCGAGATTCCACCCAAGATCGTGTACATTATTGACTAAATGCGAAGTAGATGAATACAATTATAAATCGAGTGCAAGAAATAAAGCAAACATAAAAGGCACACCACAACAACACATGATTTACGTCGTTCACCCCATAGGGCTACATCCACGGTCTCGACATGTAAAAATCCACTATCATAATGAAGATATAGTTTTAGGT